CCCCCCTCCGCCCTGCAGTATTGGTAGCCCGGCGCTGTTATCGCCAGAGAGGAAGGGCACACTTCCTAAATGCGGGGAAACTTACTGAGGTTTGTTTATGGCGTCTCGACGCGCGCGTTTTTCGTAGTATTGTTTGTCCAGAGAGGTCACTGCGGGCACTTGTTTACCGAGTACACGCGTCCCTCCTCATGAGTATGGGATGAGCTTGCTATTTCGGTGCCGACTGCGAACACACCTTTGTCACGGGCTATTTCGAGTGTTTTGAGAAAACTCCTGTGCTTAAAAATGGAAGCGTACCGACCTTTTCAATATAAAGCTACTTTGAACCCTTTACTCTTTAACAGTGTTTGGTGGAGCGGTATCTATTTAGGTTCTGGCTCTGGTGATCGCTGCTCTGGAACACATGTGTCCTCGGGCCAGGCGCTCTCTCTGCCTGACACCCAGCAGCTCGACGCCGCGTCGCCAGGGCCCCCGCAGACGGCCGATGACTTTTTCTTGTCCCAACCAAATGTAATTCTGTGGGAGCTTCTGTTATCACCTGCTGACCTGTTTGCCTTTCCTGTGTGTTGCAGTCAACTTCACGAGCGCGCACCGAGTGGACATGTCGAGCTTCGAGCTCCTCAAAGTGCTCGGGACTGGAGGTGAGTTTCTGCCCACCCTGCCGCACCAGCCAGCCTGCTTGCTTATCTTATCGGACAAAAGGCTGTGCACCGCCGTTGCAACCCTCCGCCCCGGCCGCCCCCCGGCCCCGCAGTACGGAGCGAAGGGCTGCGCGCAACTATCACTGGAGAAAGAAAATGACATGTGTCATGCTGAAATGCACTCGTGGAGAGCGGGGTTTTTATCCATCGCGCGCTTTCCTCTGCAGAAAACTTTTAGTCATGCGCCCCCGGCTCATGCATAATAGAGGAGGGATGCAGGCGAAACGTTTTTCTCCTTTTTCTTGTTTTGCCCCGCACACGAGTCAGCGTCACACCACCGCGTCGTTCCCCGGGCCACGGAGACGCGGCCCGCGCGGAGCAGAGCTTGCGCCCGTTGCGCTGCCACACGTAAGCGATGATCGCGGCGACTTATCTTGTAGAGCGCAGCGCGCGCGCCTCCGCACAGTCATCAGAAATGTCGTTGGTCTGATGTCGGCGCGAGGCCGGGCAGGCGCGCCGCGGAGCCGAGCGGAGCGGCCCCATCGGCTGCAGCGATTGCGGACATTGAATTGGTTTTACCGCAATCGCTGCGCGTGCGTGATGGCGCGGGGGAGAACAATGAGAGAGAAAGAGAGAGGGGAAGGGGGGGGG